TGTGTAACTTGGAGGGGAGGCGATAACACTCATCAAGAGGGGCGGGGGGCGATGCATTCGGGTCTTGGGTTTCCGCAAGAGGCGAGCCAGCCGGCGTGCCCGAAGAAGCCCGCGAACCACCCCCACCACACACGGGCGTCCACACCTGCCACTCCTGTCTCCCTCCCGGGTGGACCTCTTCAAGGGGGGGGGGGACTCGATCAGATCGGCTGCCAACTGATCTACAAGCCGTAGACCACCCGTGCGGTGTTAGGCCCCCCCCCCCCCCGGGCCCACCGTTGTCGGGGCATGTGTATTTCAAATCCCCGAGCCAGGGCGATCTCCTGCCCCCCGGGTCGCGCAACCGGCCGAATCTCGATCCGCCAAAGCCTCCTTCCTGCTTGCATCCTGTCTGCTTCCTGCCCACTTCCCCCCTCCCGGCCCCTCTCTCCCTTTCTCCCCCGTGCGACTTTCATCCAGCTTGATATCCTACCGGCTCCCGCGCTCTTGATGTCAGACTCAGCGCCTCCTCCCATCCGGCCCCTGCCGGAGACCGTGGTCAACCGCATCGCCGCCGGAGAGGTCCGCTCCCTCCGTTTCAAATCCAAATTACTTGCCTCTCTGCCCGCCCGCCCGCCCGCCCGCCCGCCTTCCCCCATTCGCCCGCTCTTCCTGAGGCTTACCGACCTCTCGCTCCCTCCCTCTCTTTGCCTGTGCCCGTCGCCGCAGGTCCTCGCACGACCGTCAAATGCCGTGAAGGAGCTCCTGGAAAACAGCCTCGATGCGCGATCGACCACGGTGTCGGTTGCCTGCGCGCAGGGCGGCTTGAAGATGATGCAGATCACGGACAACGGATGTGGCATCGCTCCCGAGGACTTCCGCTTCCTGTGCCGGCGCTTCGCCACCTCCAAGCTAAAGACCTACGACCAGCTGCAGGGCGGCGAAGTGGACACTTTCGGCTTTCGTGGCGAGGCTCTGGCCTCGGTCAGCCATGTGGCCCATGTGTCGGTGACCAGCCGCACGGCGGCCGGCGCGTGCGCCTTCCGCGGGACATTTCGCGATGGGGCCCTCTTGCCGATTGATGCCGGCATCGCGCCGGACCTCGGTGGCCCGGAGGACCCGGCCCCCGGGGAGGATGTCCTCCAGGCGTACCTCACCCCGACCTCCGGCACCCAGGGCACCGCCATCACGGTGGAGGACCTCTTTTACAATGTCCCCGCCCGGCGGCAGGCCTTCACCAATCCCCGAGCCGAGTATGTGCGCATCTTGGACATAGTGTCACGCTATGCCGTGCATTATCCCGGGGTGGCCATCACCTGCCGGCAGCATGGCGCCAGCCGTGCCGACCTCTCGACTCCCGGCCGGTTGGCCTCCCCCCGGCAGGCCATCCAGGCCATCTACGGGGCGGAGGTGGCGCGCAATCTCCACGACATCGACATTCCGCGCGACACCACCGGCGACTTGAAGGTGGCCGTGCGCGGTCTCTTCAGCGCGGCCGAGTCGCGCTTCCGTAATCCGGTGTTCTTCCTCTTTATCAACAGTGCGTGGCGCCCTCGCTCCTCGCCTGCGCCCTTCGGCCATTCCTCCCCTCTGGACCTGGCCTCGCTGGCCCTGCTGTCTCTGCCACTGCACTTGCCGACTTTCCCGCTGTTACTGCTGCTGCTGCTGCTGCTGCTGCTGCTGCTGCTGCTGCTGCTGCTGCTGCTGCTGCTGCTGCTGCTGCTGCTGCTCCGGCAGTTCATCCGGCTAGTCATCCGCATCCTCTCTGCTTCTTCTGCTTCTTTGGCCTCTTCTGCTGCTCTCGATTACCCATCCGACCATTGACCCACTCTGCTGTGGGATGCCTTGTCCTGCCTCTCTCCTGCCCCTGCGCTTCCTCTTTGCTATCCACCTGCACGCCGCATCCATCTCGCCAGATCGTGCCGTCTCCTCGCCCAGCCTCAAGCGCGCGGTTGATACCCTCTATGCCAACCTCATGCTGACGGCCGGCGGTAAGTCCTCCTTCGTTTACTTGAGCCTGACTCTGCCCGGGGCACATGTCGACGTGAATGTGCACCCCACCAAGCGCTTTGTCAACTTCCTGGAGGAGGACCGCATTGTGGAGTTGATCGTATCCACCATGGCCGATCGGCTGCAGACCGAGAACACGGCCCGGCGCTTTGAAGTTACCCCACTCGGGTCCCCTGCGTTGGACATGGCGCCATCCACGCCACGGGCCTCGGCCTCCGGGCCACGGGCCCCGGACACCCCGTCCACACCAAGGACCCGGCCTTCCTCCAGCATCAGCTCCCAAACCTCCTCCCCGCAGTTTATGGTTCGCAACAGCAGTGCCAGCCAAACCCTGGACTCGTTTCTCCTGCGACGGGGAGACCTACGCGCGGCGGCCGAACCCGGCACCGGGGCCATGGTGCTCGACGCCCCGGACACCCCCTCCGGACAGGCGACCGGCACGCCCAGCACCCTTCTCGACACTCCAACACGCGGGGCGCCCATCCTCCTTCGCTCGGTGCGGCTTCTGCGGCAACAATGCGTCGCGGCCAGCCACTCGGACTTGCTGGCCCTGGTCCGAGAGTCCATCTTCGTGGGGATCATCGATGGCCGGCGGTCGCTCCTGCAGCACGGCACCCGACTAATGACCTTCGACCATGTGCGCCTGGCGTATGAGCTCTTCTATCAGCAAGTTCTGGTGCAGTTTAGCCAGTTGAACACTTTCGAGTTTGACCAGCCGCCTAGCGTGCGGGACTTGATGCTCCTGGTCACCAGTCATGGGCCATTGCTGGAATCGGATGTTGCAGCCAGCTTGGCGGACAGCCTGACCGCCGGCCACACCTCGGCCGAGGATTTGGCCACCAAGCTGGCCGAGGTCCTGCTCGCCCGTGCCTCCATGCTGCAGGCCTACTTCGGCATTGGCATCGATGAGCAGGCCCGGCTGACGCACCTGCCGGTCATCCTGCCTGGGCACCTGCCGGTGCTAGCTCGACTGCCGATTTTCCTGTGCCGCCTGGCCCATCATGTGCCCTGGGCCGAGGAGTCCCCCTGTCTGGAGGGCCTGGCCCGAGAGCTGGCGCGCTTCTACGCCCCGGACCCGCGGGACATCACCGATGCCGGTGGCGATGCCTTCGCGCGGCCTCTGGAGCAAGTTGTCTTCCCGTACATCAAAAGCTACCTCCTGCCGCCGGAGCACCTGGCCACCGACGGGTCCATCCTGCAGGTGGCCTCCCTGCCGGACCTGTACCGGGTATTCGAGCGGTGCTGAGCTGCGCTGCGGTTTGTTTCCCCTCCTCGGCCGTCTTTCCTTGACATCTGTCTGCCCCTCCGGGCCCCCTCTGTCACTTGACTTGCCCCCGGGAGGGGGGGGGGGTCTTGGATGAATACATGGGCGAGCGAACTGGAAGATTGTGTGTATTGCATGCGTCACCGCGACGAGAAGCGAGTGGCAGGGAGGGGGAAAGGAGGAAGGAGGGGGGGGGGGCGGCACCAATGGGCACAGGTTGTTTGAAGGGAGTGTACCCGAGCTGTGGCGCGGTATGGCGTCAGCGGCACCAGCGGGGGTTTTCTAGGGGCCGGGCGGGGAGCAGGGGCCGGAGGAAGGGGGCAAGGAGGCGAACATATGGCCGACTGGCCAGTGCTCACGGACTGGCACGACCAGTGGTGGGGGCCATCTGGCTGGCAAGGCTATCTGACGATGATGACGAGGGAACCGGGCCGGAGGGCTGACCGGGCCCAAGTGGGCGGACTGCCAAAAGCACAAAGCGGGCCGGGAAGCGAGGTGGGGGAGGGAGGAGGAGGGGTCAGAAGACAGGGGGCCAGGCGTGGTGGCGCATGCATGACAAGGCACAAGACGAAGAAGGAGAAGCAGAAGAAGGAGAAGCAGAAGAAGGAGAAGCAGAAGAAGAAGAAGAAGAAGAAGAAGAAGAAGAAGAAGAAGAAGAAGAAGAAGAGCAGAGGCGGGGGGAGGACATGGAGGGAGGGAGTCCGTACGCATGATACCCTGCTGCAGGGCAACACTCAGCCAGTCATCCGGGATCTGGAGGCTGCCAACGATGTTCAGCTGGCGAGACTGAAGGGGAAGGAAAAAGAAGGGTCAGTGGACGGGCGAGAAGGGCTGGCCAAAGGCCCCGGCAGCTTGAACCAGGGACCCGGCCCTTCAAAAGGAAGGTGCCACGTACGGGATAGCGGTCCGTGGAGTAGGGCACCAGGCGAATGGTCGTCCCGGCGACGGTGGCCACACCACCGGCAGGAGCCGAGGCCGGGCGTGCGATTGGGGTCGACCCCGGAGGGGCACCACCCTCGGCCACTGGGGGTGGGACAGTGGCAGCCTGGGCGGGGGCTTCCGCGATGCCCGACGGGGGCACGCTCGAGCCGGGTGCATCTGGCTCGGCAGTGGCCGATTCGGAGGCCAGCGACTCCGGAGTGGCTGACTCGGAGATCGGGGAATCGGAAGCAGCACTGTCCGCTGCCTGGAGGAGAGCCAACAGCGGGTGGTTGTGACGCCGGGCCGCGGAACCGGTGCCTGGGCGGCTGGCCGGCGGCTGCACTGCGGTCGAGGAGGCAGGCGATGCCAGGGAGGCGCCGGACAAGCTGGACTGGTCGGAATCCGCGCCCGGCACCACAGCCCGCACCGAAGTGACGTCCACAGGTGGGGTAAGCCGCGTCGGCTGGACGTCCAGGGGCTCAAACTGCCCAGCAAGGCCGGGCGAGGAGGACCCCGGTGTAGCCGGGGTCGAGGGACGGTCCGCGGTAGTGGGCGCGGCCGGGGCCGTCTGAACAGTCGGCGCGGCCTGGGCAGCCGGGGCAACGGGAACAGCCGGGGCAGCTGCAGCGACCGGGGCGGCTCGGGCCGCAGGGGCAGGCGGCTGCTGTGCCCGAGGCACCGGGGCGGCTCCAGGCGCGCCAGGCGCCGCAGGTGCGGCCTGCGCCGCGGCCTCTTCGGCGCCTGAGAGAACGCTGACACGGCAAGTGGGACACTTCTGCTGGCGCTCCAGCCAGGGACGCAGGCAGCTGAAGTGGAAAATATGTCCACAGGGCAGCTGGACGTGGGAGTGAAGGGAGGATAGGACGAGAGAAGGAGAGAGGGAGGGGGCGGGCAGCCGAGGTTGAGGGAAGTGTGACAGAAGACGGTGAGTCGGCCAGCCTGTCTGCCAGGGACATGATGGAGCCCAAAGGCGCACCTTCTTCGATCCGGCGGCATCCATGTCCTCGCGGCAGATGATGCACGTCGGGTCGCCAGCTTGCAGCTCCTCGGTCGTGGGATTGACAAAGCGCCGGTTGAGGCGCCGGACGGCGCGAATGTACATGATCATGGCCATGGCCCGACGGGTGAAGGACCGCGCCGTGAGGAACAAGTCGCATAGGGTGTGAATTGGCAGGCCATAGTATGACAGCAGGGCCAGGAAGAAGGCCCCATGCAGCAGGAGCTTGAAGAAGTCCTGCGTCAGGTCCAGCGCCAGATCCAGTGGCGAGTCGGTGTGCTGCCGCAGGTTGGTCGAGCCAATGATGTACTTGATCACAGTGCCGAAGAGGAGCGACACAAAGAGGACAGCAAACTAAGGATGGGAACGCGAGCAGGAGTGTCGCATATGTGTGTGCGCGCGTGTTAGTGGGGACAAAGATCACAAGCACGCGTAGCAGGGTGAGGGCGTGAGACGGGCGTGTGTATGCGCGTGTGTGTGCGTGTGTGTGCGTGTGTGTGTGTGTGTGTGTGTGTGTGTGTGTGTGTGTGTGCATGCGAAAGAGAGAGGGAGAGGGAGGGGGGAGGAGGCGGAAGGGGACGTGCCTCAAAGGCAAAGACCAGCAGCATGGATGGGCCATAGCGGCTAACATGGCTCATAGCGCGCCATGTGGAGAAAATGTCGATGCTGGCCAGGAGCAATGACAGAGTGACAATCTGCGCGTGGAATGCGAACCCCTGATGGGGAGAAAGACTCATCTGCGGGGCGGGGAAGGTCGGCGGTAAGTACAGGGCGGGGGTGATGGGGAGGGAGGACACAAGGGGGCCGGGCCGACCAAACACGCACATGTGCGACACGGTCATACAGGGCCCAATGGAGCCATTTGACCAGAAGCAGGCCCGCAAAGAGGATGACCGCGCGCGAGTCGAATTCATCGCGGAACATGGTCATCGCGAAGAAGGTCTCCGTGACGGCCAGCCAGAGCTGCTCATGCAGTGTCTGTCTCGGCAGCGCCCAGAGCCGCGCAGAGTCCCGGCGGAGGGGGGGGGGGGGGGGGGGGGGGGGGGGGGGGGGGGGGGGGGGGGGGGGGGGGGGGGGGGGGGGGGGGAGGGGGGAGGAAAGAAGAGAGCGGGGCTGAGAGGTGAGATGATGCGAGGAAAGAAGTGCGACGGGAAAAAAAAAAACAAGCAAAACACATGCCGGGCATTGAGGGTGTTGAGGAAGGGAACGCACGCCGGTATCCATGAAACTGAATTCCCCGAAGAAGAAGATGCGCTCGCACAGCTTCTTCAGGGCCCACATCAACACAAGCGCCATGTTGACCATGAGCTGGGGGGGGGGGGGGATGCATCAGCCGAGGGGGAAGCG